ATTTTTGAAAATGAATTCCCCTCTTAAGTGACTCTTGTGAGGGGATTTTTTAATTTGAGGGGTGGAGGGGGGCATTTTTTTAAATATATATTTATCTCACCTAAATGTTTGATCATGCACTGCATTTTTGTTTTGACAATCGTGCAATTGTTGCACAATAGCTTACACACAGCACAAGCCTGATTTCGTCAGCTGTATGTGAGGCAGTGTTACACCAGGTTCACACATACTCCATTTGCAGTGCGTATGCAGTCCATGTGGGGTACGTAAGCAGTGCAGAAGCAGCTTTCACACAGGAGTCTGCAACTGATCCGTGGCTGTTTGCCATTTTACCAAATTATTTTGATTTCAAATCCAAACATTGTTACTGAAAATGCTTTTTTTACACAGTACAGTAATACAATCTTTCATAGACGTGTTTAAACGTAATAAATATAAGAAACACATTATTCAATGCTTTTTACTTTTGCATTTACTTCTAGACTTATATATTAAGTTGCTCAAGCAAGTGGCAAAACATTTAAACTACTTAGAGATCTCTGTGAGATTACTGTGTTCTTTTTCCCTGAAGGAAAATCTTGAGAGGCAGAAAATGTAAGGTTAACATGGAAAAAAAAGGTTTATTTTTTTGTACTTAAACCTCTGGAAATGACTTTCTTTTTCCACTGATGTCATCAAGACCTCTTATTTTTTTTAACCCCTTCCCCCTGATCACCTGACATTTTTCACCACTCAGGTAATTTCCAGTGGATTATGTAAAATCAAGCCAATTTTGAAACCACTGAAAACCCATTTCACCCAGAAATGCATCACATTACAAAGTAAAATGGGTTGTGAACACAGTGTGTTTTGTGTGCAGGGTTATTGTAGTTCACCAGTATTGTAGGCTTGTAGTTCAACAATAAAAAACATTTTTGTTACTTAAAGGGGAGATAACACACACAGTTTCACCCAATCTCATGTTAATCTTGAGTACCTATAGAGTAGTACTGCATCCTTTATATCTCCAAAAAGTCTTTAGTTTTATCATATTTATAAAATAAAGATACAGCTTTACGATTCTCTCTGGAAAAAGCCTAGCTCCTGGAGGCGCGCCGTGGGCGGAGCTAAAGAGTGACGAGCACTTGGGAGCCTAATACCAAAAAAATACAGACGTTTGATGCAGTTTCACTTACCGTCTACAATTCTGAATCATGATTGGGATCTGTTATAGCTCGACCGCTCCATCCTTCAGTATCAAACGATGGGCAAATCCAGCATCGAACTGGGCCTTGCTTATAAAACGTTCGTCAACAAACACACTTGTGAAACTGCATTGCTGCTCCGGAAAAACAAACTGCATCCACTGTTTACATAACGTTGGGTTCTTTAAGAAGCTCCAAGTTATTTTTCCCTTAAAACCAAAAACACACTTCTTTGGAGACATTCTTCCCGAGCGAGTTCCGTGCAACGCTGATGAATGAAGCACACTGATGGGCGCGCTCTTTCTCTCGCTCTGGTCGACGTGTGCGCGGGCGCGCTCTTCTTCTCTCTTTCCCATACAAGGAGTTCCACACTCGTTTACGTCATGAAGAGCCACGATCGAAAAAAACTCTCAGATACTTGTACGAACCCGAAAGTACGATTTTTAGCACAGAAATACTCCGTCATACGTCCAAATTGTTTTTTTGAAAATTTGTCCATGCTTAGCATGAGAATCCAACTCTTTAACAGTGTAAACAACTCTGAATGCATGAAACTGCATTGTACCCCCCCTTTAACACAAACTTTTATAGTACATCAATTAAATTAAAGAGAAAACAGAAAATATTTAAAAAAATCTAATTTAAAATATGAATAAAAACTATAATAGTAAATAACTGTAATCAATGATACTAAAATAACATCGCATGGCATGGTGCTAAATTATAAACAAAAACTGTCAAGAAAAAGTCACAATGCAAGAAGGCTTAATGTGACTAACAGGCTTTATTTATTTAGTTATTTAATTGATTAATCGATCTAGCTATCTAGCTATATTAGGCCCGTCAATTGAACTCATTCATTTAATTAATTAGTTAATTAATTAAAATATTATTAAAATATTTTAACGCAGTTAACGCACTGGCCCCGCCCCAGACCTGTACGTCATCTTACGTTTCATACAGTTGACTGTTGACAAACATGATGCAAGGCAACAACTCACTGCATGATGTAGTCCATAAATGCAGTTATGTGCCCCTAAAATTCAAGATATTGGGGCAAAAAATGCCCCTGTATGAGTTTTTGTCTGATATTTATATCATATGATAAGCGATATCACACGAGCAGCGAGAGCAATATCACACGAGTGCTGTTTTTGTTCTGAATAGCATGAGTGCAAATGTGATTCTATACAACAGTTCAGTAAATAAGAAGGTAATATTGTGTTAAAAAAATAATGTGTTTTTCTTATTTAGAGTATTACTTAATTAAAAAAAAAAATTAAAATTCCATATTAAGTTAAAGGTAAATATGTGTATATTTGTGTGTGTTATTCCATTTTGATTTGATTTTGGCTGAAATATGACCTGAATATGTCTTTGTGTGCATGAATAGAAGGTCCAGCTATACTTCATTTTCCACTTTCTGCTCTGTTTAGCACACAATTGAGTGTGCAAGTCTTTATATCACACGAGCAGCGAGAGCAATATCACACGAGTGCTGTTTTTGTTCTGAATAGCATGAGTGCAAATGTGATTCTATACAACAGTTCAGTAAATAAGAAGGTAATATTGTGTTAAAAAAATAATGTGTTTTTCTTATTTGGAGTATTACTTAATTAAAAAAAAAAAAAAATTCCATATTAAGTTA